TTCCCCCCCCTCAGTGGTCGAGAACGCCCTCGACCATGTCTCCCGCATTTCCTGCAACTCATCCCTCACACCCGCTCCCCACAATAACATCCAAAACAGAATCCCCTCGTCTTCACGTACCACCCCACCAACCTCCGGATCCAACGCATCATCCTCCGACACTTCCGCCATCTGCAATTTGACCCCACCACCAAAGACATTTTTCCCTCCCCACCCTTATCTGCTTTCCAGAGGGACCATTCTCTCCGTGACTCCCTTGTCCGCTCCACACTCCCCTCCAGCCCTACCACACCCGGCACTTTTCCCTGCAACCGCAGGAGGTGCTACACCTGCCCCTACACCTCCTCCCTCACCCCAGTCCCAGGCCCCAAGAAGACTTTCCACATCAAGCAGATGTTCACGTGCACATCTGTGAATGTAGTATACTGTATCCGCTGTTCCCGTTGTGGCCTCCTCTACATCAGGGAACCCAAGCGGAGGCTTGGGGACCATTGCAGAACACCTATGCTCGGTTCGCACTAAACAACTGCACCTCCCAGTCGCGAACCATTTCAACTCCCCCTCCCATTCCTCAGATGACATGTCCATCCTGGGCCTCCTGCAGTGCCACAACGATGCCACCCGAAGGTTGCAGGAACAGCAACTCATATTTCGCTTGGGAACACTGCAGCCCAATGGTATCAATGTGGACTTCACAAGCTTCAAAATGTTCCCTCCCCCTACCGCATCCCAAAACCAGCCCAGCTTGTCCCCGCCTCCCTAACCTGTCCTTCCTCCCACCTATCCCTTCCTCCCACCTCAAGCCCCACCACCATCTCCTACCTACTAGCCTCATCCCGGCCCCTTGACCTGTCCGTCCTCCCTGGACTGACCTATCCCCTCCCTAACTCCCCACCTACACTCACCTTTACTGGCTCCATCCCTGCCTCTTTGACCTGTCTGTCTCTTCTCCACCTATCTTCTCCTTTATCCATCTTCGATCCACCTCCCTCTCTCTCCCTATTTATTTCAGAAGCCCCTTCCCCTCCCCCATTTCTGAAGAAGGGTCCAGACCTGAAACCTCAGCCTTCCTGCTCCTCTGATGCTGCTTGGCCTGCTGAGTTCATCCAGCTCTACACCTTGTTATCTCTTAACACAACTGAAGAGTCCTTTTGAATTTTTTTTTTGAATTTTTGTTTTACAAAATATCCTTTGGCATTCTTAGGATTGGTAAGCACTTTAATTATTACTGTTAAAAATGGGTTATCACCAAAAAGAAGCATTTTCATTTTAAGATCCAGTCAACCACCTGTGAGTGACCAGACTTCAAATAATATAAAATAACTTTACAATGCAACATAGTTCCATTTACTGGTTCTGTTAGGATGCAATATTCAGTTTCTTAATTTACAAAGAAAGGTAAAAGGTAAAGTCACCACAGGGCTTTTCTCTGATGATAGTTTAACCTGAGGGTCACCATGCCTCAGGTGAGGGGAAAGGTTGAGAAATGGGAGTCCATCATGGTGACTTCAGCTGGTGTAGGAATTGACCCCATGCTGTTGGCCTCACTCTGCATTGCAAACCAGCTGCCCAGCCTACTGCCTTGACCGATCCACAACTTACAAACTATCTACAGAAGATTTTAAGTAGTGTCCTTCCATTGGCAGTTTAATTTTAAGTGTGTCTTCAAAGGCCTGCAATTGAATGGAAATTCACACTGAAGATTTATTTGATCTGGAGGTGTGACTACTCTGTAGGGATGGAAAGGGATTTTGAACCAGGATAATGGGACATAATATGCACTTGAAATTCCACAATCTTTCGTGCTGGTGTATCCTATTTGGGACAAATTGCATCAATAAAACCCATGCAACTCATTTATATCAGTTGTTATAAATAGTTCAGGAATTACAACTCATCAAAACGCTTTTAATATTGGCTATTTTTAATGGGTTCAGAAGAGGTTTACAAGAAAGATCCTAGGTATGAAGGGCTTGTCAAATTAGAAGTTGAGGATTCTACTCGATGGAATTTAGAAGGAGGGGATCTGATTGAAACTTTCAGAATACTGAGGGGCCTGGATAGAGTGGATGTGAAGAATTTGTTTTCACCAGTAGGAGAGATTAGGACTCAAGGGTACCGCCTGAAAGTGATGGGATGATCCTTTAAAACTGAGATGAAGAGGGATTTCTTCAGGCAGAGGGTGGTAGTTAATGTGTGGAACTCATTGCCACCAAGGGCTGTGGAGGCCAAGTCCTGAGTGTATTTAAGACAGAGATATATAGGTTCTTGACTAGTAAATAATCACAATGTCATAGGAATATGATTGAACAAAATCAACATAATTGTATGATAGGGAAATCTCATTGACAAACATATTAGTGTTTTGAGGAGTTAACAAGTAGGGGGGATTAAAGGAAGCCATTAGGTTTAGTATATTTCGATTTCTAAATGTTTGATATCAAAGATAAGAGCTCACAGATTTAACAGTAATGTGTTAGCATGGATAGAGGATTGTTAAAATGGACTGGAAACAAAGAGTAGGGATAAGCAGTGCGTTTGCAAGTTGGCAGGTTGTAGTTAGTCAGGTGCTACATGGCGCAATGCTGAGGCCTCAACTATTAATGAGCTAGATGAAGAGCCAGACAATAATGTATCTAAGTTTTATGATACAAAGCCAGGTAAGAATGCAAACTGCATGCAATGAGTCTGCAAAGAGATAAATACATCTTGAGTGATTGGGAAATACTGCGGAATATTAAGTGGAATTGTTCATTTTGCTACTAAGAATAGAAAAGTAGAATTTTTATAAAAGATGTGAAATTTGTAAACGTTTCTCTACAGAGGTACATGATTATATTGATACAAGGAACAGAGAAAGTTAGCAAGCACATTCATCGTACAATGGGGAAGCAAATTGTGTGTTCTACTGCAAACCCCTTGTAATAAAGGCCAAGTATATCTAAGTCTTTCTGCAATTATACAGGGTCTTCGTGAGACCTTACCTGGCACACTATGTGTAATTTTGCTCATTTAAGGATGCATATACTTGAATCGGAGGCAGTACAGTGAATCTTCAAGTGAAGTTTGGCCTTTGGGATGACAAGGTTGTCCTCAGAGAGACTGAGTCAACTGGGCCCCATTTGCTGACATTTGAAGAATGTGTGTGAACTCATTGAAACAAGATTGTGATGGGGCTAGACAGGGTAGACAGTGAGAGATCGTTTCCATTGTAAATCACAAACATGGGGGAAAAGTCTCAGGATAATGGGCTGATCACCTCAGACTGAGATGAGGAGAAAGTTCTTCATTCTTTGTGAATCTTTGGCATTCTCTAGACAAGATGATAGTCTATTGTCAAATCTGTTAAAGGTTGAGCAGACAGATATTTGGTGTCTTAAGTCACCTGTATCAGGTAGAGGGAGCTACTTTCAATTTTTCCCTTTTTCAGGGGACAGGTGAGCAAACTTTAGAAAGGTCAGGGTTGCCACAAAAGTAAAAACTTCACCTAAATCAAAAGCAATAAACTGATAAAATTAAATTTGTAACGATAGAAATTAGCATTAAAAAGTAGCAAGCAACAAAGCTTAATAATAAAGCTAATTTTTTGTTTTATCGGTTCATAAGAACTACAAAGAAAAATAATCAGCCCAAATTCCTGATCACCAGGGAAGGGAGTGGTGATGGTGGGCAAGCTAAGAGCTAGGGTTAACTAATGCTGACCTTACCCCTGTCACTCTGTCTTACTCTGCCCCCTTTAACTTCAAGAAAATAATCCATGGGATTTTGTGCTCTAATACCTCACAAACAACATTTTGCATTGAAAGTAGCATTTTTTAAAGAGATATTTCAATGCACTTTTGAAAAAGGCACTTTATTTTTTTTAAAAATGAAAAGAGTGATTTATTCCTCATTGTTCACAATTCCTCTCCCTCATCCTACTCTCATTGCCTTCTCCCAATGTTGTGACTATCATCTCTTCCCCTACCCTAAGTCAGAGTCTCCCAAAAAAGTTCCTGTTCCCAGACCCCACAACAAGTAAACTGCCACGGCTCCAGGCCTCAGACTACTCCAATCACAGACCGATTAATTCCTACATTTGCTGCTGGTCTGTGATCACTCTCATGTAAGGTCATGTCATCTTTAATTATTGGAACCCTGTGAATGAGCTGCACATTCATCAACCAGTAAAGCAGACACTGGGCTGTATAAAAGGGGCCCTAGGCCTGCAGTTTGGTCTCATCTATATTAGGCAATCGAGGGATGTGAGGAGTTGATGAAAAGTGGAGCTGAAGTCGAAGGCCATACTGAATATTGCAGCAACTGCAAATGGCCATGTGGACTACTCCTGTTATTCATTATGTTCTTATAATGACATCAAATATACCCATGAGTTTCTTTTCCACACAAGATCAAGGACAGGAGGCACAGAACACCATCACATCTTAGTACTCCAACAAATCACATCATCCTGACTTTGAACTTTATCTCCTACACTGTTAGTGTGTCAAAGACTTAGAACTTGCTCCCTGACAGCACCGTGGGTGTATCTACAACACATGGACTTCAGCTGTTTAACGAGATAGCTCACCAATACCTTTTTAGAAGAATATAGATATGTGCAGCAAATACCAGTCCTGCCTGCAATGCTCAAAAAATACAAGCAATTATTTTAAATAGAAGTATTGTTATGATATTAAAAACAAAAACAAAGTTGCTGGAAAAGCTCAGCAGGTCTGGCAGCATCTGTGAAGGAGAAAACAGAGTTAACGTTTCGGGTCCGGTGACCCTTCCTCAGAACCGGTTATGATATTAAATCCTTGTTTATATTAAGCAAAACTTGTGCATAAGATAATTTATTTGTTTTCAAATAATACGTTTGGCAGACAGGTTCCAGTTACTTACAATTTAAGGATGTTTTAGGAGAAAATTGCAACCGAACCATAAGTATTATGTCTGTCTAGGTGAAGTAATCCATAACATTTTGGTACTAAAAATATCTATTTTTCTCCACTACACAGATATTTGATTCAGTGCCTGAAATTATAAACATCCACAAAAATATTCCTTTGCGACTAATTGATCGAAGAGACCAATCAGGAAGCAAAATGGAACAATGTACTCTAAAATTTCCACTGATACTGCATTAACAGATTGATAGTGTCATATGTTAATGATTTTTATCCTTTGTTATTTACATTGTATACTAAAACTGCACTAATTTATTTCAATGTAAACATTTCTATGTACATACTTCAGAACATGTTCTTATTGTACTTTTCTAACAACCTGCACAGATAACATGCTCACATGCACAGTTCACTCTCATTTAAGATAATAATACATGAAAATATATATTAACAGAAAAGGAAATATGCTATTACAGTTTCTTAGAAAATGTAGAACTACTGCTTTCAACTATTTCTATTACTATTACAATTTTAACTGGTAAGAAATGAAAATTGTTACCTGTATGTTTATTTTTATTGTTGTACATTTATCATGGGCAATAGTAAAATACAGAAATTCAACTTTGTTTGAGTAACTGTGACTGATTTACCTGATTATTATGGGTGACTGTGACCCGTCTGGAAATTCTAACTTTGACTATTAGGGATAATGGGCAGGTACTCCTATTAGCAGAGATAACAAGGTGCAGGGCTGGATGAACACAGCAGGCCAAGCAGCATCATAAGAGCTGCGTGTGTCTTGTAAGGAATTGTGTTGGGGTCTTAACTATTCACCGCATTCACTGATGGTTCAAATGACAGGATAGAAAAACATATACCCAAATTTACAAAAGAAAGCTAGGTTATGTGGGTGGCACAGTGGTTTAGTGGTTAGCATTGCTGCCTCACAGCACCAGAGACCTGGGTTCAAATCCAGCATTGGTTAACTGTCTGTGTGGAGTATGCACATGCTCACCATGTCTGTGTGTTTTCCCAAGGTGCTCCAGTTTCCTCCCACAGTGTGAATGTTAGGTGGACTGGCTGTGCTATAGTGTACAGACTAGGTGGTTTAGCCATAGTAAATGTGTGGTTATGGGCAAAGGTTTGGGAGTGGGATACTTTTCAGAGTGTCAGTGCAGATTTGATGGGCTGATGGGCTGAATGGCCTCTCTCTGCACTGCATGGTTTCTATGATATTACAAATCCATTCACAAATAAGAATAGTAAAGTGGAAACATCCTATTCTTATATTTTCAGGTCTTTTATTGGAAGGAGAGAGTGCAAGTAAGCAATTTTAAGAGCCAATTTTAGGCAATATCAGAAACCAATATTCAAATTGCAACACTCAATATGAACTAAATTAAGGAAGGCTTCAGCACACGATTATATGTGGTGATATCTAGATATGCAGGTAAACGTGAGAGTGTCTAAGGTTCTTGAGTAGATTTGAGAGTGGTAGAGATGAGTCCTGCAGAGCAGTGGGTACAGTCGCAGAGATGGAGTTAAGTGTGAGGAATTGGAGAGAAGATTGTGGTACTTACACTGGCAGAGTGGAAATAGTCATTGGCCTTCTTCTCTGCAGCACTGGGCATTCCTCCAATGGATTAAGACTGCACTGACCTGGATTGCAAACTCTAATAGATTAGGCTGGCACCCTCTCATGTTGTGGCTTCCATTGTAAGTTCTGGGGGACTACCCTGCCCACCAGGTTCAGGTCCCTGGCTATAAATTGGGCTCCAATTTTCCCTTCTTTTCCAAAGTCATGAGGGGCAATTTTTTTACACAAAGGGTGGCTCATGTTTGGAATAAACTTTCCGTGGAAGTGGTGGATGTGGTTAATGCACAGGGTTCAACTCCTGATCTGGCTGAGGTAGGCTTGAGATTTATATCCTTGCAGTAACAAGATTTGCCGTTGAACATGGATAGAAGCATAAAAATTCAAAAGGATACCAGTAAGTTGATTAATCAGTAATATTATGTATAATGAATGCATTGTGGGCAAAATGAGGTCATGTACTTTGGACCTAAAAAGGATAGAAAACAGTACTTGCAAACTGGTGAGGAAGGCAAAAACAGAGTAGATACAAAGGAATCCAGGCACATTAGTAACCAAAATGACAGGAGCAAGTACAGAAAATAATTTGGTCTTGTAGAGAATGAAGTGTAGGTTACATGGACTACATGATACTTGTATTCCAAAATTAAACTTTGAGATGAGATTAAATATGTTGTATTCGCTCGAATTTAGAAGGTCAGGATGAACTGGACAAATTTTTCAAGGAACTACGTGAAACATATAGTGTAAATGGAGTTTCCACTATTTGGGAATTTAGCTCTAGGGGATTAGTCTAAAAATTAGAGCCAGAACTTCCAGGAGCGAAACTGGGGAGTACTCCTTTATGCAGAATGTGATAGAAGTTTGAAACTCTCTCCAACAAGTGAAATCAATGCTAGATCAACTGTGAACAGAAGCAGATAGAATTTTATTGGCAAAATTCATAAAGCACATGGGGAAAAGTGGTTTTATGAAATTAAGTTGCTAATCACCTGTGACCTTGTTAAATAGGAGACCAGGCTCAAGGGGTTAAAGTAACTTACTCGTGTTTGTAACTTCCTAGATCTAGAAGGGATTAGATGCATGGTCCACCAATACTCCATTCTTCTTTGAGAGGCTGCAAATACAAAATCCCTTACCACCTCCTGCATCAGTAAATATATTTAGGCCAGACAGTGATTATGCAGGCATACTGCAAAGTAGAAACTCCAGGACAAAATCAGGAATTTCAGCAGCTAGGTCCAGACCTAATTTGCAGCTTTCAGTTGAACTCCCATCTAGGTTCAGATAAGGACATATTCCAGCAGAACTTTATCTCCATTGACGTCTAATATCACCCATTATAAATCCTAAAGTTTAAAGTTCCAGTCCATTGTGAATAAACAGAAGAAAATCATCATAAATTATGTTCAATTTCTTTTATTCTCAAAGAAGTTAATTTTTATTGTGTCTTATTCTGTTAACTTATTTGATTAGTGTATTCTTTCTAATGTTGTATGAGATCCAAGTGATGCCTCATCCTATATAAGGGAAATACAAAAAAAAAAACTTTTCTCTCCTTATTGCAGAGTATCAACAATTTTAAACACTCATAAAGAACAAGGTATTGGGCTAATTGGTGGTTTAATCTGCTTTCCTCCATGACTAGCTAAAATAATCCTGTGTTCATTCCCTGGTCTATGCTGAGTTGGTTGACCTGATAAAGCAATATGGGAGCAATAATTGGGCTCTCAATTAGCAGAGAAAACCATCAAAAGATCCTGATTTCTTCCCTGCTGCAAGAGCATGCAAGTGGAATTTCCATGAGGAAAGTGAAGCTCAAATAACTTGGAGCTGTTCATTCATGAATAATGACCATCAGAATCAGTACTGGAAGGTGAATTTCTGTGTGGTATATAAAACACTGGCAGCACAGAACTTGTGAATTGCTGAAAAAAATATGCTATTGGAGGTATCAATTAAGCAATCACCAGGACAAATGCAAGAATGCTAAATTTAAAAGGGACCTGCAATTTACATGGCATGAGAAAAACATGTTGATTGTTAGCAAGTTGACTGACTCGTCAAGGGATTGCCATGAAGAATGCACCATATAACCAATGCACCCTCCTGCCCTATGTTTTTATTTATTTTGAAAAGGGCACAAAGTCTGGACATGGTTCTTTGGCTTGCAGACATCATGTATAAATATGTGTAGCTTCTAGCAGTTGTAAGTAAACCACAATGCAAACCCAAATTATAATCTTAAATTGGTTGTAAGTATATTTCTTAGCATGTTCTGGATTATTCAGTAAGAACTATCCAATTGCAGAATCACTTCTAACATGAGATGTTATGTTTTGAGTTTGCAAGTGTGAGCTAGTTGAGTACAGTCAGCAGTCTCCCTATTGAGAACAGATGAAAAGATATATTGCTTAATAAATCTGCCAGACATTTGAATGCATGATCTATATATCTGGCATACACCATTGCTTATTTGTACCAGAATGTTTTTGATTTGGCAGTTGTATCCTGTTTTAAAATTAAACTAAATAATGGCAGATATTAGGTACTTGGTGCATTCTCCTTGGCAAAGTCTTAATGAGTCAACTTGCCAGCCAATTAGCACCATTTCCCTCATGCAGTGTAAATTGTTGTTCCCTTTTAGATTTGGTATCTTTGCATTTGTCCTGGTTATTGGAAGACATAAAGCTCCAATTGTATGTCTCAAATAATTTAGACTTAAAAATATCTAAATTATGATTCAAAAAAAGTGACATATTTCAAAAGAAAATCCAGCTATAGTTTAACAGAAATACATTGAACTGGAATTTGTCAATCTAAGTGTGGAATTTTCTAGTCCCTTGAGCAGCATGGGTAATGGTGAGAAAGTTGGAAAGACACTGCGAAAATGCATCAGAACCTTGACGTTGAGGAAAAAATTCCGATCTTCCTCTGAAGATTTAAATGGTGAGTTCTGTAACTCACTAATAAGAGGAAACTATCTTATTCACATATGTGTATCTCATTAACAGCTCAACCCAGCTTATGTATATGGTTCCCAATTCTCCTTTCCTACACCAAGAAACTATGTAGCATTTATTGTCACTATACAAGTCAGGTCAGCAGTAGCTCACAGCTTGCTTTTCCAGTCTTTCGGACAACTCCACCTTCATCTGCATGGTCCATGAACACTATCCTCTTCCAACCCTCATCCATGCACATGGTCATCACCAAACCATCAGCTGCAGCAGAGCATCATGCCTGCTCTTTCACACCACATCAGTCCTTCAGCATTTTACTTTGGAACTCCGGTACAATTCTGTCAAAATGCTTTGCTTACCAGGACACACACTCATCTCATGCACCTACACAGATGCATCTTATGGCTCTCAGTGCTTATTCACTTTGTGCTCACTTGGAGGCTGATGGACTCGGTGGCTTGTATTGTGTTTCACTGCATAGGCGCTTCAGTTCTAGATCATATGATGTTAGTTTCTCCAGGTTGCATTGTTTTTCAGCGCAGAGGGAGAGGCAGACAGTTTGTCAAGGTTGGGAACACTGACCAATGAAGGAATTGGACATGATGCTGTATGGCTGTGTGAGCAGGAAGCATAGAGGGCAGGAAGGGTTAATTGTTTGGGAAGGTAAGGTGTGTGAGGGCCTT